TGCTTTTCATTTCCTTCTTGGTTATACTTAGTGACTTTCAGGTAAGGTGTGGAAGGTGTGGTAGGTGTGGTACAGGGTGAATTGCAGGCCGCACTGTGGCACCGTGGAGGACAGGCGCGGGCTGCAGTGGTGTGCACAGTGGATGAGAGACAAGAGGAGACTTCTATCCTCGAGGGAAACACACAACAATTTAAAAAACTGATCATCTAGCTTACATGAGGTCCAACAAATTCAGTTTGCAAAGTTGAACTTTCAAGTTAATTTAGTAATTTTTCCCCTAAGTCATTAATTTAGTAGCTTATGTTTAAATATATTTCTCTTGTCTAAAGCAAGTCATAAATTCTAAAATGAATGACTAAACATGTAATAATTGAGGCACACAATACCTGAAGGGAAAACTGCCAGTATGCTAAAATATTGGATACAGATGCTTTTAAAAAATATAATGTAGCATTCTTACAATGCATGAGTTTTTAGCATGTAACTTGGTGAGTCGTTTTGAGCTATGTTTGTAGGAATGTGTATCTTGAATACTTGAGGCCACCACTGCAGATGTGTGCATGAGATGTATAAATACTGAATATTCTTCTCCCTTCCCTTAAATGAAAAACATTAGCTCCCTTTTTTGTTTTTATTTTTTTTGAAGTGGACTCTTGCTCTTGTTGCCCAGGCTGGAGTGCAGTGGCACAGTCTCGGCCCACTGCAACTTCTGCTTCCGAGGTTGAAGTGATTCTCCTGTCTCAGCCTCCTGAGTAGCTGGGACTACAGGCACCCGCCACCACGCCCAGCTAATTTTTGTATTTTTATTAGAGATGGAGTTTTGCCATATTGGCCAGGCTGGTCTCAAACTTCTGACTTCAGGTGTTCTGCCCACCCCGACCTCCCAAAGTGCTGGGATTACAGGCATTGAGCCCCACTGTTCTTGGTCAGCTCCCTTCTGTAATGATTTATGTAGTTGTTTTTGCTTTTTGTTTTTTTGAGATGAGGTCTCACTGTCACCCAAGCTGGAGTGCAGTGACGCAAATCTAGGCTGACTGCAGCCTTCACCTCCTTGGGCTCAGGTGATCCTCCCATCTCAGCTTCCTGAGTAGCTGGGAATAGACACATGTCACCACGCCCAGCTAATTTTTTTTTTAATATATTTTTAGTAGAGGCAGGGTTTTGCCATGTTTTCCAGGCTGGTCTCGAGTTCCTGGGCTCAAGCGATCTGCCCGCCTCGGCCTCCCAAACTGCTGGGATTACAGGTGTGAGCACCACATCTGGCCCTTTTTTTTTTTTTCCTTTCCAGGATTAGAAGTCGACTTTCAGAAAAACCCCTCAACCTTGCAAACTTAATTTTCCATACTAATATGCCTCTAGGATAAAAACAAGACCGAAACAAAGAAGTATGTGTGGACTGCAGTTAAAAATTTTCAACACAACATAGCTTAGGAGAGTTGACATTTACAAAGAGCAGGAGGCCCGTTCAGTGCCTTCTAGGCATTGGGAATGGCGGTCTGTGGGCGACCCTAATGTGTGCGGCATTCTGACACGTGATCGTGGTGCTCATGCTTTTCCCGAGGGCCCACCGGGAGTACCAGAGGCTCCACTTCTGCAGTCGGCCAGTCAGGCAGCAGCTGCTGGAGAAGGAACAGACAGTAAAAGACAGATGTACACAGTGTTATTGTGGCAGAGGTTAAAACCAGGCTCTGTTCTTACAGTTTTAAAAAACTAATAATGAAGTCCTTGAATATGTATTGCATTTCAGGATTTTAAAGCAATTGTGGGTGTGTCTGTGTCTCTCTAGCTCCCGTTCGGGTGCTCCCTGAGAAGACGGCTCAGAGACACCACCTTTCCTTGTTGAGGTGACAGGGCCTGGAGAGGTGTGAATCCCGTGGTGGGGGGGGGGTGACTGACCTGGGGGGAAGGCTGGGTCAGTGGTGGGGATCCACCCCCACTCCACGTTCCTGTAGGGAATCCACAGTTCTAAGTCTTTATGATTTGAGTAAAATGAACCTGGAAGAGGTGTTATTTTTTAAGAAGTAATTGCCATGCTCTTTTTATCCTCATACTTCTCCGTGTTTAAGCAGCATTGAAGGATAAGGCACTACTAGCATGTTGGTTTGGAAACAATCTTGTTGGTTATTTTACCTTGAATCTGATACTAAGGTTGCCTGGTAACAGAAGTTTTCCTTTAACAACATGGAACTCTGTTGAATCTGTTGCCCCATTGGCTGAGCAGTCTGAAGTCAGTGCCCTGGCAGCTAAAGAGGCCTTGGAGGAAGGCTTTGGAGGAAGCCACTGGATGGGCAGGAGGCACCCCCATTGATTGAGGGAGAGATGCGCAGTTTGCAGGGATCCCACGTGGCACTTGTGGCTCTCTTCTGCCCCCTGCTGGTTGGCCAAGCGGCCTCGCCACAGTGTGCTCAGTGTGAATGTTCACGGGGCAGGCCAAGGCTTTTGTTCCAGAAACACTGACTTCAGAAACGGCGGGCCGTGTGTGTTGAGCATGGCAAGAAAGACTTAAGTGTGTCTTAAACCTCTTGAACAAAGCAAGTTGATGTTTCAAATGCATCTCGAAGGCTAATGACTTTGCTATGGTCAATATTTAGGAGAAAATGGGGTTTGATGAAATAGAAAGGAGTGGCAAGTGAGTTGCTTGTGCCCTGTATGACTAAGCGATGTCCTGGCCGTTCAACACCATGGCCTCTGAGTAGCCAGTGTGTAGATACTGGGTCAATTTAGATGGGACTCCTAGAGCTGTCCGCCACCCGGGAGAAGAACGAGGAGTTCTGTGTGCCCATGGTCATGGTTCCCGCTACTGTGTCCAGCAATATGCCGGGTTCCAATTTCAGCATCGGGGCAGACACAGCCCTGAACACTATCACTGAGGTAAGTCCCTGTGTGCCCAGCCAGGTGGGCGCTGGCTGACGCTAACCGGAGGGCCCCAGCCCTTTTTATCTACCAGTGCGCTAGAAACAGCCTTTTACAAATACCCTGAATGAGAGTTTCTCGTTCTTTTTTCCCCCCTAGAAAAGTAGGTTTTTAGACTCTGAACATTTTTGATCTCCTAAAAAAGTTTGACCGCCTCTTCTGTGTGGCCACCGGTGGGGACGTAGTATGGCCAAGACCCCGTGAGTTACCTGCAGTGCTGAGGATGGCTGGGCCGCAGTCTCCTGTGATTGCACCAGCATTAAAATTCCCCCCCCCTTTTTTTTTTTTTAATGCTCAGCCTAAACTTTCTTTGAACCTCCAATACCCATTATGATGAACCCCTGCCTTGATGCTGAGGGTAGAAATTGAACTGAATATTTTATAACTGTAGTCATTGTCCTGAACGCACCATTGCATTTGTTATCTGTTTGGTCTTGGCTATTGACCTCATTTTCCCCTTTGTAAACTGGGGATGTTAAATTACATCTAAGGCAATATTGGGGCTAGTTTAGTTTTTTGCCAAGAGACAATAATAAAACATAGAAGTATATTCTTCTGTTTTTGTTTCGTTTTCTTTGTCAGACAAGGTCTTTCTTACTCTGTCACCCAGGCTTGAGTGCAGTGGTGTGATCTCAGCTCACTGCAGCCTCGGCCTCCTGGGCTCAGGTGATCCTCCCACCTCAGCCTCCCAAGTACCTGGGACCACAGGCACATGCCTCCATTCCCGGCTAAAAGAAATACACGCCTATCCCCATGTTTGTGTGTCACACTTGGTGATTCACGTGGGAATCTGAACCGTACCTAATGCTGGAAGCATTTCATTGTTTTAAAACTCGATTTCTAAAATTTTTCAGAAATTCTCAAGTTTTAATTTTTCTTGTGTGACTTGGTTCTCACGAATATTTTTCAAAGTTGTTTTTTTTGTAAATCCTTGGCATGAAACTTATTTCTAGCACTGGTAAATAAAAGATTTTAACATACAGCTCATATGGTAAGTAACGCTTAGCACTCGTTTCTTGCTTTTCTGAGCGTCTTAAACTTTCTTCACTTTCTTTGCGAAGGAAACCTGCCCAGGTTTTCCCATGTTCACTGGCTTTGGGGGCAACTTTCACCTTATTTTTGGCAGTAACTAATCTTTGACCTAGATGTTGCTTCTGTAATCCTGGTGACGGGTGTCACGGTTTTGCTGCTGTGGGTCCAGCCCGGCTCTGGGCTGACCTTCACGCTGGGAATGTGAACATGAGTGTCTGTTTCACAGAGGGGATTCCAGCATGGCTTTCACTGCTCTTTCACCAGCTTTAGCTGGATTTTTGGGTCTGTGAAATTTGGGTGTACAATGGGAGGGATTGAAGCTTCTTTTTAAATCATTACCTAATTGGAACTTGCCCAGAGGGAATAGGTGTAGAATTTGAGAGCAGTCACTGCAGTTAGCTGAGCATCTGAAGATGTGGGACAAAGCTGGTGTTGATCTCCCTGTGAACTTTTTATTTTCAAGTTTCCACACAAAGCATAGATTCTTGTGGTATGTGATGTACTTTCAGGCATGAAGAAAATCTCTCTTTAATTCCAGGGTCCTCCGCTATAAATAACTTTTTTTTTCCAGATTGTAAATATGTAACAAATGTGTAGGGTCAAAATTTGAAAACCAAAATACTTGAGCCAAACACCCCAGAGATGACCAGTTCCACCCGCTTTGACTTCCCTTGGAGGGACTCTGTGATTTATTATGTGATTGTTTTAAATTCAGTTTTTCATTCATTCGAGTTTCTCAAAGCTAGATTAAACAATTTCGGTTTTTGTTTTTTTTTTGTTTTTTTGTTTTTTTTTTGAGACAGGGCCTCATTCTGTTTCCCAGGCTGGAGTGCAGTGGTGCAATCACGATTCACTGCAATCTCAACCTCCCAGGCTTAGGTGATCCTCCCACCTCAGCCTCCTGAGTAGCTGCGACTATACGTGCATGCCACTGTGCACGGCTAATTTTTTGTATTTCTACAGAGACGAGGTCCTCCCTGTGTTGCCCTGGCTGGTCTCAAACTTCAGGGCTCAAGCAGTCCCCCTGTCTTGGCCTCTCAAAGCACGAGGGTTACAGGGATGAGCCACCGCCCTGGGCCTTAAGTTAACTGATTACAATAGAGAACTAGAGTGTGTAGTTAGTTGAGCCTCCCTTTGGTCAGACACAGCCACGTTAGTGTGTGTGTGTGTGTGTGTGTGTGTCCTCATTGCCCTTCTGATCCTGAGCTCTGAGGAATGAGGCTGTCTTGGGAGTGCTGTGGTTCTAGTCTCGTGATGGGTGAGTGACGCCGGCTGAGCTGATCGAGGTCACCCTGGCGAATGCTGCAGCTGCTAGGGAGCTGGGGCAGGGACGAGAAAGCTGCCGGGGATCCCTCTGTGGACCCCTGAAGGGAGAGGGACCGATATGTGAACATGGCAGCTGTTTTCTCCAGAGCCCTGCTTACTGACAGCCAAACAGGGTGAATCCTGAGAAGGTTTGGATTTGGGTCTGAACTGGGTTCATCTGGCCATAGAACAGGAGCTGGTGACAAACTCGGGAAATGAGGGCGTGAGGCGACTTGACGTGGATGGCTCCGGGTCGCTCCAGCCACTGTCCTGAAGCCGTTGGAGGCTGAGGACGTGTGGGAGTGAGCATCTCTTCCCTGTCCGGCCACACCCTCTGTGACCCGTGACGCCTGGCCCTGGGCAGCATTTATGTTTGGGGTCTGTGGATGGCTCCAGTTGTTCAGTCAATTCGGTGATTCTCATGGGGCGAATGTGCCCCAGGGGATGTTTGCACCATCCAGGGAGGTTTCTGATTAGAACTGGGAGAAGGGATGCTCCCAGCACCTAGAGCTGGAGACAAGGGACGCTGCGGAAAGTTCCTCCAAGCACAGGGCGAGTGCCATAGTAGGCGTCTGGCTCAGGACCTGGCCGTGTTGTGCTTCAGAAGCCCTGGGTGGATCTGATGTGAAGTCGTCATCTTTGGACACGTGCGTCCTCATCCTCACTCATGATTTCCTTCTTGCCAGCATTGATGCTTAGCTGACGCCACAGCCCCTCGGAATCTATGCGGTGCTGGCGAGTGGGTCTTCCCAGCAGAACAGAATGAATGAAATACCTCAGAGCAGGTGTTACACATTCTCAGGATATGGCTGCAGGGAGTTTCAGTTGAACTTGCATTCTTTAGCGCTGGCTGGTGCATTACTCTGTCCTGTAAGTTTGATCAGGTCACATCAGAAACACAGTAGGTGGGTACCACGCTGCTGTCAGGTGTCGCGAAGGTGGTGGTGACCACAGCCTTGTAATTCCTTGTCATCATGGCCCCACCACAGACCCAGGGGCCCGGCTGTGTGTGGTCTTGAGAGTTTTATGCTTTTCTGGGCAGGGTCTCCCCTGTCTTGAAGCTTCCCTCCCCTTTTCTGGAGACTGAAGGAAGGAAAAAGAGAAGCGATAGGGAAGAGGGGAGAGAGGATTGGCAGCAATGTGGCCATTCCCACAGATTTCAATGTGGAATTAAGGAGCCGAGACCCCCCCCCCACCTGCCCTCTTGTGTGCCTCAGACCCCTCCTGGCCCCAGGCCACCCACACCCTCTGGCTTCCAGCGAGAGCTTCTTGGAGAAGCAGGCAGTTCCCTGCAGCCAGTCTTGGTCCAGCCAGTCTTGGTCAGTCCTGAGCTAGGGTATTCCACAGTAAAGGAGTGACATCACCTTTCTGAAAAGCATAAGGAGCCCCGCATGTGGTGGTCCTGAGGGGTCCACATCCTGGGCACCAGGCCAGCGAGTATCCCCAGATGAGTGTTTCTGGCTGGGAAGCAGGCTGGCATTTGGATTGAAGTCCTGCAAAAACTGCCATGGCCACAGCCTGCAAGGCAGAGCCTGTACAGAGCAGCCCAAGAGCTGGGCATGTGCTGGGCCTGGGTGGACGTGGAGGCTGTGCCATGGGACGTGGGGGCCCCTGCTCACAGCTCACCTTGTGGTCACCCAGCACTGACCCACCTACCTTACCCTCCTACCCACCATGCTGTGAACTCACCTGCCATGGATCTCCACTCACTGTCCGAAGCCCTCAGCCCACACGGGCTCCTGGCCTTGGGATGCTTTGGGTTGCACCAGGGCTGCAGAGCCTGGGTCGCTCACTGTCCAACTCTCCTGGGGAGATGTGGTCCCCGCCCTGTGTCCCAACAGTAGCATTTCTGCAGATGTGGGGATATTCACAGTAAGAGGGACACGTCCAAGTCTATAAATAGTTGGTTTTGCCACCAAGTGGATGACAAAAACCCCTTGCCGTGTGGGGCCACTTGGAGGTGGGAACAGTGGGCGTGTGGACCTGTCCTGCTGTTACCTTGGTTAACACCCTGAGGTGGAGTCTGAAAAACCCTGGTGCACATGGGCTCAAGAAACACTCCCCTTTCTGACACCAGCGCCCATTTCCCAGTGGAACCCCCGAGCAGCAACTCAGGTTCTTGCTCGCCTGTGCGGCTTCCCGAGGGCAGAGATGGCAGCCTCCCGCCGGAGAGCAGAGATGCGGCCCGGGGCTGAGTGTGGCCCACCGGTAATCCAGCTGCCTGCCTCCTTCCCTGCCTGCGCGTGGAGGCTGCCTCTGCACGATGACGGCGGTCACTTGGTGTGGTCCTTAAAGCTGTGGGCCGCATCCCACTCATCTTTGCCTGCCTGCAGAAAGCTACAGGACTGGCTTTGCCTTTAAACGTCCTGATCGCCCTGGCCTCCCTTACCCACAATGAGATGCCGAGAGCTGAGCTGTCCCGATCGTGACTAACTCGCCACTGCCTGCAACCTGCTCTGCTGCTTGCCTCACACCTACCCTGCTGTGCTGCCTGCAGGCCTCCCCTTTCATGAGGACCTGGACTGTGCCCAGGCAGCCCCCTGTGTCGCTGAGGCCTGTCCTGCTCCCGCCCGGCCTCCAGAGCTCCCCTAGGCCCCTTGACCGGCATGAATGGGCTTCCCCTGGTGACTCAGGCCCCTCCTGTCCCTTCCTGGAGCTCAGCACAGGCCCTGGGGCTGGCAGGTGAGCACCTGGCACCCCCGCTAACCACTTGCCCTGCTGCTTCAGGCTTACAAGAGTGCGTGTGACATGGCCGAGGCGCGAGGTCACCACCAGGAGCTTTGCATTCCCTGTGTGTGGTGCCGGCCACGATTAGCAACAATGTCCCGGGCACAGAAATAAGCCTGGGCGCAGAAACTGGCCTGAATGCTGTTGTCCAAGTAAGAGAACCCCGTTTCCTCCCATTGCTTTCTTTTATTTTAGCAACTTATTTCTTCTGTGCTAAGAATGAGCCAGATTTATTATTACTCTTTCCCCCCCACTCTTTGCTAGCTTGGCTTTATGTCGGTCACACTGGCCAGAACGGGGTAAATTTTTTAGCTTCTCTGGCTTAGCGAGAACCTGTCTTTATCGATTGAAAGTGAGATGATATATCCAGTCCTTGGGGTCCTGTTTCTATGTCCACCTAGACTAGGGGAGCGTTAGCACCATTTCTCTGGAGCCTGCCTCTCCTGCAAGGCTGCAGGGCTGGCTGTGGGAGCCTGCAGGAAGGGGTTTAAGTGTCTGGCACGTAAAAGCTCTGGGACAGAGCTGTGCCCACTGAGGGCCACTGCCTGGAACCACGGCCTTCCTGGTGAGATGAGAGGTTCTTTAGAGAGCCGAAATCATGCCCTCCTCGGCAGGCAGTTTCACCAACATGTGCTTTGGGGGGAGTGGATTCTGCCGGTCATGGGTGTGGTTCTGACACCCGCATGGTGGCCCCTCCGGTCCCTGATAAGCTGACTCACCTCTATGGTCATGAGCTGACATAAGGACCTGTGGGAGTTCCACAGGCCTTTGCTGCAGAGAGGGTCCTCACTCAGCTGCAGATGGCACGGTGGCCACCTTGGCGCGTGAGGTCACGTCAGTGGCTTGGCTGCTTGGTGCCTCCTGGAGAGCAGCTGCTGGCCTTTACCTTAGATGTTCACGTCCAAACCATCTCCGGAGTTTGCGGTGAAAACTCCCAGGCCTGTTGGAGACTCCTTAGTTCAGCTTGGCACAGAACCTCGGAAAACAGTATTCTTGTTCCGGGTTCTTCCTTCAGAACTGACTTCCAGTGCAGGGAAGGGAGTGGAGGGACTGTGAGGTTGGCTGCAGCCTCCTGTGCCTCCCACTCAAGCTGAGGGCCATCTCTTCCCTGGGCTTTCTCTTCTATCACAATGCAATGTGGCCTCTAACTAGAGCCCATGTTCAGTTTTGAATACATCAATTATTTTTTGGGGCGAAATAATCTACCAAAGAAACGAAGTGACAGCTGGGACAGAAGAGTCCGCCTTTGTTGGAGCTTAGATACAGCTTTCCTGAACTGTCTCCTCACTACCTAGATGGCATCTGAAGCCTCAATTAGCTTCTAAAAATAGTAAGTCACTCCAGCCGTGCCTCAGGCAATTAGTCAAAGTAGCAGCCAAGACGAAGGCTGATCCCAAGCGTGACCCTGCTTGGACAGCAGCTGTGAGTGGCACACGTCAGGCAGAGCCTATGACCTCAGCCATTCTTGCCACACAATGAGATGTGCCCAGCAGACAACCCCCTGCAGGGGCACACACACGATCTTGCTAGGAAATTCCCCAAGGAGTCCCCCACGGGAGCGAGAGCCCCAGGCTACAGTTCAAACATCACTAGCACTTTGCTCCATGGGTGTTAACAAATTGGTGGTGAAAGATAAGGTACAAAAAAGCCACTGACTTCTCTGTGAGAACCACATTGCTCTGTGAATCTGCAGGGAGGCCAGATTTTCCCATGACTGGTATCCCTCATGGCAGCCGAGCCTCTGCTGAAGTTGGTGGCCAGACGGGGCAGGGAGTTGGGGTCCCATCCGTGCTACAGCAAGGGACCTGCAGCAAAGCACAGCTGCTGGCCGGGGTAGTGCTGTGCCGCGTGCGGGGTGCGAGGGTGGAAGTACATGTGGATATCTACAAGGTGCTAAAGGAGAACAAAGCCAGCGATGGCAGGACCCTAATGGCATTCAACGAACAGGGGTCAAGCGCGGGGCCCAAGGAAGTCCAGGGAACGAGCCGGGGCCAGCCTCTGCAAGGCCAGAACAGCACCAGGGAACGCAACAGGGAGAAGCCTAGGAGAGAAATGGCCCTCAGCTCGAGTGGGCGGCACAGGAGGCTGCAGCCAACCTCACAGTCCCTCCACTCCCTTCACTCCCTTCCCTGCACTGGAAGTCAGTTCTGAAGGAAGAACCCGGAACAGAACTGTTTTCCGAGGTTCTGTGCCAAGCTGAACTAAGGAGTCTCCAACAGGCCTGGGAGTTTTCACTGCAACCTCTGGAGCTGGTTTGGACGTGAACACCTAAGGTAAAGGCCAGCGGCTGGCAAAGAGATAAACAATTATGTAACTATCCAAAATGTCTCCTTGAAAAATGTTATCAATTCTTTAAATTGTTACAAATGCAGCTGAGTTTTAATAGTAATTTGTCCATAATTATCAAAATCTTTAAAAATCTTAATACTGAAAAAATAACCATAAATGGATATAAAACGCAAAGCAGAAGAGTTAACATTTGGGGTAGATTTTGGCCCATATTTTTAACATATTTACCTAGCTGAAGTATATTCAACAAGCCTGATTTTCAAACATAGACTGGCTTTTGGTACATGAAGGCAGCTTTAAAAGATGTCAGGATCGGGCCGGATGCAGTGGCTTAAGTCTGTAATCCCAGCATTTTAGGAGGCCAAGGTGGGCCGATCTCTTGAGGTAAGGAGTTCGAGACCAGCCCGGCCAACATGGCAAAACCCTACCTATATTACAAATTTTTGTAATTAGCCAAGTGTGGTGGCGCACACCTATAATCCCAGCTACTCGGGAGGCTGAAGTAGGGAGAACTGCTTGAACACAGGAGGCAGAGGTTGCAGTGAGCCAAGATCGCACCACTGTACTCCAGCCTGGGTGACAAAGTGAGACTGTCTCAAACAAGCACTTAGCCCTCTGAAAAAGCTTGAGCATCCCCCGCCCCAACCAACCCAAGAAATCACATGGCAATGGTTATCTGATTTGGACACAAAAAAGTTCTAGTCTCTCTAAACACAATGGTAAACAGTTGCCATCAGCCCACAGAAACTCCCAGGACCCAGTAACACTGGACTAGCAAGATTAATGGGCCACGTATGCAGCGTTCAGCTGCAGAAAGTGATGGCACCAAGAATGGTGTGTGCTCAAACCAGATTCCTCGCTTTCAGGGCACAGGGTCTCCCCGGGAAGATCATCCAGCGGGATGGTTTCCACTTCCACCATGAGGAGGAAATGGGTTTCCTGAGGGCACTGACAGGACTTGGGTCTCTGCCCTTGTCCTCTGTCCTGTTACGGGATGAGGGTGGGCTGAGGGCAGGTTCTCCCCACATCTTCCGGGCAGGAGAGATGGAGCTGACAGGTGGACGACGGCTTTTCCAAAAGGTTCCCATGTTTATAACCTGTTATCAACCTGCTTTCCCTGGAGATCAGTGAAGCAGCATCATTGACTCTCTTGCATTAGGGACAACCTGGTGGTACGGCCTCTGGGTCAGCCTCTGCATGGGTCTGAGTCAGTCACTTGTGCCTGGGCCTCAACGTGCTCGTCTATCAACTGGGCAACCCCACAGACTAGTGACTTTCAACCAGAGTTCCAAGGAGGTTGCCCAAGGACAGGCAGGGGGAAGAAGAGGAAGAAAGCTGTCCGAGGAAGGGAGGGGAAGGAGAGGGCTGTCCAGGGAAAGGGAGGGGAAGGAAAATAAGCATGGAGGGAGGAGCAGAAGGGGGGGTCCTCTGAGGAGGAGGACCAAGTTGCCGAGGTGTCTTGGAGTCAGAGGTGGCAGTGGCTTGGGCTCTAGGCCCTCTGTTGCATAGTTTTAGGCTTTAACTATTTGTATTTGTGGACTCTTTAAAAGATTTAATTTGAAGAAAACCGGAGTTGAGGGATACCTTGCTTCTAAAACACAGTTTCTCAGGCCTAAGACTAAGTGCTAGGCATTGCTCATTCTGTTACCGTCATTTCCTTCTATTTAAAATCAGCTGCACACCCCCAATCTCCCTTCAGTGTAAACACCACCTTTTCAGAGGATCTCAAACAGCAGAGCGAGCAGCCCGTGACCCCGGCCGTGTGCACGAGAAGTGAAGAGCAAACATGCAGTGAGGGCTGCGGACAACGAGAGAGGCCGAGGCCCAGCACCTCCCTGCACTGCTGTGCTCTGCCAGGTCTAAAGGACACCCTCGCCTCTGAAGTGAACAAGCAGCACAAGCTATCAACACTTATTCCAAAGGAACAGGAAGAAAATTCAAATGAAGTTAACACAGTTATCCCAACACAACACTGCAACAGCCCAGAAACAGGAGGGCCAGTGAGCCTGAGATGGGCGGTTTCCATAGCGGGACAGCAATGCTGGCATTAGGGCTTTTTGGCAAAAAAACAAGGTAACATGGGCCACCCGGTATTTCCTGCCAGTGGAAAGACACCCACAGGCCCCAGACACCACCATCCCCCTGGAAACGAGCCCATGCAGTGCCTCAGGTCTTTGCACGAGCAGGCACGTGGTGTCCTCAGCACCCCCGCCCGGGACACACACACCACACTTGGCTCCCACACCTGACGGTCCAGGGGAATGGCAGGAAGTCCCCACAGGACAGGGCATCCTGTGAGGGCACTGCAGGGCTACGCACCACAGAGGGGCCCCCGGGCCGGTGCTCTTTCCCCAAAGGATGAGCCAGTCCTGACCACACCCATATCGCGGTGGCCTCCAAGCCAAGCGCCAACACCTCACGTCCAAAGGGATGAGCAGGTACCCGGTACGTGTGGAGCCCAAGCCCCTCGCAGAGCTCGGGGCAAACCCAGTGTCCAAGGCCCGGGGCCATCACCAGCCAGGAGAGGTGTCCAGGGCATTTCCCAGCGATGGCCACAAGAGGTAACAACTCGGGCCCATCAGGGGCTTCCTCACCATGCAGGTTTTAGAAGTGGAGACAGTGGTTCAGGTCTAGTGGCACAAACATAGATGGACCCCATAGAAATGCGGACGCGGCCCCTCCATCCCACCAGTCTGCATGGCTGCTCCTTTCTGCTCCCATCACACAAGTCCCCATCCAGCCAAGCCCCTTCTCCTTTTCCACATTGGATTCCTTAAATCTCGCTGTCCTTGGCAAATGTACCATTTACTTACTGCCCAGAACAAAAGCACACTTCCAGTTAACATGACACCCCCGCTATGATAGAACAGCCTTAATTCAGACATGACCTGGAGGAACAGAGGGAGGAGGGGTCGAGGGCTGCCCTGGAATTGGCAGCTGTTTTCTGGGGAAAGCCTCCATCCCACCCGAGCCCGACATCGTGCCACACTGTCCCCATGGTGTCTGAAAGCTCCATGAAGACAGGATCACTCTGACCCCTTCACACCCACAACGCCAAAGAGGAGCAGGTGTTCAGGAAAAGTCTCCTGCTAGTGCTGAAGACAAGAGTAATTCCTCGTGGTGCCCAGAATGTCAGGAGAAAACGAGGCACCATGTGGATGCCTTCCAGGTGAATTTTGGAATGATTCCACCGAATGCCAGTCATCCTTTTTCAGAACAAAATCTATACCAGGAAACATGTCGCCAGCAGAGAGATGGTCCCTTTGATGGCTTACAAACACACCTACGTTACGCTGAATTTATCTCAAGCTACCCTCTCTGTGCTAATGTAAAACGTCTCCCTTATTAACCAGTAGCCTTTCTCATCTGGTGCTTTTTAACAAGAGGGTCCTGTAACACTCAGGCGTTGTCTAAAAGGTCAAATGGAAGCCTAGAATCCTCCTCCGTGCAGCTTCACTGCCAAGTATTTTGACGTGAGTCAAATCGTGCTATTCCTACACCTCCATAGGAAACTCAATGCTTCATATCAAGGAGACGAAGCATGATTTCTGCTAGGCACAGAAACGGGTGGGGTGGGGATGGGGTTGAGGGAGCATTACATAGAAAGCACACCCTGATAATCACCTGCATAAGAGCCACACTGGCTGGCAAGC